TATGTGGTCATGCCTAATAAGATGAAGAATTCATGCATTTTGTTTGCGAGGCTTCTTGCATTGAGTAGTTTGCATTTTAGAACCCCAATGTTTCCCTTAATAAAAGAAGTATGTGCAGCGTATACATTTTGCATTAGAAAGGCACACAAATGCACAAAATATGTGATCAGTTTGTGTTGATTCCAAGATCTGAATTTCTTTTGCAGATCCAGCATCTTAATTAATAAATTAATGAATAGTGGAGAATGTATGTAGTTCAGGGTTGAATTGTTGGTTTGTTGTGATTAAATAATACTTGAAATAATTATTTAATTTCTTCTTGCCTTAGTGTGCAGATTAGCTTGATGCTCTTTTACTCACTGTGGTTTTGCCTGCTGGTAGCCCTAAAAATGGAAGAAGCAGAATACTGCTAATTGATGATCAGCTTTTTTTCAAATGCTGTCCAGCTGCATTTAGATCTTTCTTTCTGATCCATTTTCCATAAGTGGAATTCTACTCAGTATATTCTTACAACACTCTTTCTACTTGTCATTGTCTATCATTGATATATTAGTTTACAGCTCATGGTTTGACAGCACATTACTAAGTTGTGATCTGGACCATATCTAACACATATTATAATAAACACATTTCACCCTCATATTAATGGATCAAATATTAAGAAGTAGGTTCTCAGAGGCATATTTGAATTAAAGATCAGTTCAAGATCAAAAAGGTTGAAATCTACTGTGCTGTGTTATCTTCACTTAATGAATGTATCCTGTACAGGTTTTTCTAAATCAAAAATAGATATTTGGGAGTACTTTATTTTCTTTTATTTTTACGTTGCATACTTCTATTTTGTTTCCTCTGAAAGAAAGCAGATTGATCATACAAACTGAAAGCAGTCAATCTTTTTTGCTTTAAATTGTCTGATGCTATTTCTTTCTGCCCTTCCTTGGAGTAATTAGTGAAAATCTTGTTCACTTGAGTAAGCTTCTGAAATGAAGACTTTTTTTGCTTACTTTGAGCTCTTTCCATTGAGTTTACATTAAAAAATATATTGAAAGGAAAATTAAAAGTAACATTTTGGAAAAATCAAAACTGAATAGTAAGATACTGTTATTTAGCTCTTTAACAATGCTCTTCAATCCAAGTTGATGCTTTTATAATTTATAAAACAGATCTTTAATAAGAATTAAGCATGAATGAAGTTAAAATCATATAGCACCTTACCTTGCATTAAATCCCATTGAATTCAGTGTGATCTACTTCTAAGTAGAGATGTCAAGACTGTTTTAAAATGTATGAAGTACTCGACTTTCCTTTTTTCATACTATTCTTCATGCCTCACTTAGAATTTCCTTTTGTTATTATTTCTAGTGAATTTCTATTATATCTACAATTATGCTGTGGTTGTATTTCAGTGTCAATTTCCCTAGGGCTACATTAAGTAATTACCATTTTAAAAAGCCATAAGTTTTGTTATCCTTGTTTTTTAGTGAAAACAAGGAGTTTATATACAAAACTTTGAGAGTATTTGCATTTACAAAGCTTTTACCAGTATTAACTGTACAACTCATACTAAGATGGATAACATCAGTATGACATCATAAAGGAAAGTCTGATGTCTCCATGCAGATAGCTTCATTACAAGCCAAACTGAACTAGTAGTTCATTAACCCAACTCAAGTGAAGACTTAGACTAATTTATGGCTATGTAGTTTTAGAGAAAATAGATCAGACAGGATGATCAAGAATGCTGGTAGAGCCTCAGATTATATAATGATTTCCAGGTCTGTTTTCTGAAGTTTTACATTTTATTCAGTTCCAGTATTATAGAAATCAAACTTTAAAAGATGACACAGATTTATCAGTTTTACAAAACATTACATTCTTGTGTTGCAGTTACTGCTTTGATGTCATTACAGAGTTTGAGTTAGATCTAGATAGGTTTTTATTTGTTTTTCTTTGGATGAAGAGTAGAAACAGGATTTATCTTCTCCATAATTAATTACAGTCAAAATTTATATTGTATCATCACTGATCATTTGAATTCTACAATCAAGAAGTGAAGTAGTATTATATTTCACTGGGTTGTGGGGAAAAGTAGGAAGCAGGAGATATATTCACCATATTGAGTGAAAATATTATAATACATTTTCAAAATTTTATCTTAATTTAAACCCTATGGTAGAAATTTCTAGAAAATGTATTTATATACTTTTTCTGATGTTTAGTGATAATCCAGATCTCAGAGTTTGGCCAGAAGAATGATTCAGATCCCACAAATTATATACATGGACAGTAATACTTAGTTATATATGAATGTAAATAATAACCCAGTGGACATCAGAAAAAAATGAGGGTCTATTTCCAAAGGATATCATTTCCCAAATTTTAAGGGCATTGTTGCATTGATACTGAACTAAGCCATAACTGAACTACCCATCCCAGAAACTGAATGAATGAGTGAATGAAGATTTGCACATGAGAAACTTAGAGTATCCAATCATTGTTTGCTGATTTTGTTTACTAAATTTATACTAATATTGAAATTAAGCATAAGGATATCTTATAAATAGTTGAGGGTTTCTAAAATATATCATTATATACCATATTATATTTCCAAGACAGATAATTAAATTTTAATCCTAGCATCTGCTTTCTATAGAAGACTAAAATTAAGATTGGGATAAAAAAGGGATTTTATATGAAAAAAAAAATTCAGCTATGTGGCACATATAATATAGATTTATATGTGTATATTAAGTAAAAGGGCAAAATTTTGTGAAAAAATATTTCACATTTCCAGTCACTTTCAAAAGTCATAGATGAGCCAATGCATTCATAAAGCCATAAAGCCTCTGGAAAGATGTGCCAATTAGATATTAGATGTAAGGTAATTTGGGTTAGCTGTTCACTTGGGTTTGATTTTAGGGGAAGGCACATTGATCAGTTTTTCCTTCATCAGACAGAATTAGGGTGACAGCACGCATATCAGTCAGATTCACTGCAGACTATATGAGCATGAAGTTGATCTTTCCCCTTCAATTTATTAGACCATCCTGAGTATTCATGGCCAGGTTCTTATTCCCAAACAGAAGGTATTAGAATATACAGTAACCACAACCAGTTTTCTTGTTTGGATGGTTCACAATTCACAGTGCTGTTCTTTCTTGTTCAGTGTGTATCATCAGTCTGATACAATGATAATTCTGTCATCACCAGATAGAAAGCATAATCAGATTCTTAGCTCTAGATCATAACTTCATTTCAACTAAGAATAAAGGTAGCATATCTGGTCTTTAAAATCTAAGCAAGCAAAAACCAAACAAAATGTTCAGTCTTCTATGTCATGTTGTTTCAGAACCAATTATGCCTTTCACTCTTTTCCTTCTTTTCTTTCCTCTAGAATCTCTCCCAGCCTAGAACTAATTTCTTATCTATCATTCATCAAATACCCCAAACCATCCCACCTCCACTACAGTTAGCCCATGAAATATGATCATGACAGAATCTGTCTATTGCCGTTGTTAAGTCATAATGGTTGTAAAACACATGACCAATCCAATTTTATGGTAGTAAAAAATTTGTGGCAGTTATTAAGTGGACACCATGCTCATAAAGTAAATGCCATGATCATAAAGTAAACATCATTGTCACAAGGTGACCATTGTGATTGTTAGGCAACCACTGCAGCTGTTAAGTGAACTCATTGGTCACTATTATGTAGTTTTGCACAACCCCCCCACCCCAACAACCCTGGAAATAAGTGCTGGCTTTCAATAAAACTATTGTAAAATGTGTCACATGATTGTGGGATACCGCAAATGTCTGTAAATGCAGCTGTGTTGCCGAGCACCTGAATTTCAATCATATGACTATGGAGGACCCTAAACCATCAGAACTTTGAAACTGGGTCATATTTCGCATGAAAGTAGATCTGTCATAACTTTGAATGGTCATAACTGGTCATAAGTTGAGGGATACTTGTATGGGTGCTGAGGAAGCACAATTTCTCTCTTCTTGGCAAGCAGCAGTACACCTTTCATTTCTAGTGTCAAATGAATAGAGTAGAAATATGTCTTTAAGGCAAATAAGGAGCAGTAGCATTGTATACTATACAAAGTAATCTTCTCAAATAGCATATGTGGGAAGCTGGAAAATGTGATTATATCTTTGTAGTTTAATAAGTAAAGGACTATGTTGGAGTAAAGAAATGGAAGGAAACTGCATTATGTAAGGATTATTTTTATTTACCTCAAGCCCACTTGGGGGCTTGAGGTGAATGTGGGCTCCACCAATGTATGCAAGAAAAGTATTATTTGATTGTACAGCATGCAGAATTACCATGACTGTTTCATCATGATCACCATCATTATATACATTGACTATTAATAATTTTATTTAATTCATATTTCACAGTTACTTGAAGCATTAATCATTATTGATTTCATGCCTTTTCTATCACCATGTTTTTTAAAAAAATTCCTGTGGATACCACAGAATTAGAATTATGATTCTGGCACTATCATGAAGATTTCTGCACCAAAAAGCATAACCTTGATGAGCTGTCAATGTACTAATGCATTGCTAATACAGGCAGGCATAATATTATTTCATCCTTCCAGAAGTTAAATGTTCTGGACATTTTATAGTTAAGGCTGAGACTTCTAGATATAAACGTTTTTTTAAAGTTTCACTTTTGAAGTTTTTTTTTTCATTTCCATTCAAATTTTATTTATTTCCATTGTGTCATTATACTGCACAGTGCAGCAGACAGTTCATTAAGAAATAGGAGTGGAAGTAATTACCAGTTTTATGGGAATATATGTACTGACACTTGGACAACCAATATCCCTTTCCTGCTCTCCCTATTGTATCTATTAATATACACCAAAATTCTAATTATTTTTTACTCTCAAGAACTGATTTAGAAAGATATAGGTAGGAAAGGAGAACAAGCAGTCAAACTGTCTGTTATCAATTTATTCATAGGCATTTTACAATGGATTACATCAATTTCTTTGATTGCTGCAAGAACTTTTAGAGTTGAAAATTTTCTTCTTTCCAAGCACATTCAAAAATGCTGCTTGCATTTCCTTATTTTTGAAGCTGTAGATCAGAGGATTCAGCAAAGGAGTGACTACTGTATACATCAGAGAGATTAAACAGTCTTGTTCTATTGAGCGACTAGAGGATGGACGCATGTAAGTAAAGATAGCAGTGCTGTAGAACAAGCTAACTACAGTCAGATGAGAGGCACAAGTGGAGAATGTTTTGATTTTGCCTTGGATTGTATGGATTTTTTGCACTGCAGAGATTATAAAGAAGTATGAGAGGACAATGAAGGAAACAGTGGTTATCATAATGCTTCCTGAGATAATAAATGTCACCATCTCAACAAGGGAAATATCAGAACAGGATAAATGTAGAAGAGGTGGAATGTCACAAAAGAAATGCATTATTTTATTGGAACTACAAAAGTGCAGGGAGAAAACAAAAGTAGTATTGGTAATGGCATTAAGATTTCCAATGGCCCATGAACATGCCACCAGACACTGGCAGAGTGGCTGACTCATGAGTAAAGTGTAGCGCAATGGCTGGCAGATGGCTGCATAACGATCAAATGCCATGGCAGAAAGGAGGGCACCTTCTGTGGCAGCAGTAGTTAGAAAGAAGTACATTTGGAGAAAGCAACCAGTAAAGGAAATGGACTTGGTCTCTGAGAGGAGGTCCCACAACAACTTTGGCATGGTAGTGGTGATGTAACAGATCTCTGTACAGGACAAATTGCTCAGTAAGAAGTACATAGGAATATGGAGACGCTGATCAATCTTTATCAAAATAATTATGATCAAATTCCCTGTTAAAGTGACAATGTAGATCAATAGTCCAGTAGCAAAGAATATGATCTGAAGTTTAGGGTCATCTGTTAGTCCCCAAAGAATGAATTCTTTAAGATTAGTATGATTCTTTGTTTCCATTTGCTACTGATTTCTCTCCAATGAACACAACCGGATTCCTTGGGAAGATTTTATAATCAGGGAGAAACAAAAACATAGGAAAATAATTAATATTTATGGCCATCAATTTGGATTTAAATTTCTGACAATATGTTAAGAAACTATTGAATGACATAGACCTGCATTATACTAGGATTGCCATTAAGGTAGAAGACCCTATCAATGAATTTATTTAATGTTGAGAATCTGATCAAATAGGATTAATTTTTTATCTAAGGAATTTGTCTATGACTTCTTAACATTTGTCTAGCAACATCGTATTGTTCATTTCTATGAATTTTTTGAGCAACTGAAAATCAAGGGGTAAATTACTATGATTTAGTTTATTCTAAAGTTCTATTCACTGGTATGATTTATGAAATGATTACATATTCATTTCATGCAGAAACAGGAATTCAGTTCTCTGTCCCCAATGTTCTACACTTAAGTACATACACCTGGGCTACTAATATTATATCTGGATAGTATTAAGAGAATGCCAGCATTACTTGTCTTCATTTTGTTTTGGAAAACATAAGAACCACAAAATTACAATTTGATTCAACAATTGTGTTACAATAATTACTTCAGAGTATTTGCCTATCTTTGAATTATATCAATCAGATTAAAACTGTAATCTAAAAAATACATTTCCTTTCTACACACACACACACATTATTTTAGATTTACTGGATCTGATATAAAGGATTTCAACCTACCATGTCTTGTTACTGTTTTGTCATAGATATTCAAACTACTCCTGCTGCTGATTATAGATAAATATATTTGCATTTTCATTAATCACTTTTCTAATTATTGCTTCACATAAATATACCCACAGTACTGTAATAGTTTATTTAAAAACAGTAATTTATTTGCTAGTTTATTTATTGTAACATTCTGAATAAAGCATTTGGAGATCCAGTGTGGTGAAGTGATTTAAGATTTAGATTAGACATGGGGATTAAATTAAATTTATCATCAACCAACCAAGACACTAGTCACATTCTTTCTCAGACAAACATAGCTCATAGGGTTTTTGCTAGAGTTTAAAAAAATCTGAAACTAAAACCAAAGAAGGCAGTGTGACACTTGGAGCTTGTAGACAAAATGAGAGAAATAAATCTTATTAATAAGATGGATGGATGGATGGATGGATGGATGGATGGATGGATGGATGGATGGATGGATGGGCAGCCAGTCAGAAGGACTGGCAGGCTGGCAGGCAGGCAGGCAGATAGACAGACACTATAGATCCACCCACGTATCCTCATTGTACAATTACAAATTTAGCTTCCTTTTGTGCTCACATAAATACACAATGAATATTAATGAACACAACTGATATTTCATCTATTCTCATTGGTACTAAAATATCAGTTTTTAATGGGAATTTTTTTTAAAAAATAATTCATTTCTTAGTTCTTTTTATGCTAGCACTTTTCAAATGAACACACACAGAGTATATTCAAACAACTTTAGATGGGCCTTTAGAAATTAATTAGGAATAAGAATATAGCTATAGTTATATCAAACTCTACCTATGTGACTCCTTAAGTCAGTTCATTTGAAGAAAACAAAATGTTCCCAAGGACTTTTAAATTTGACTCATTTGAAGATCTAAAATATTTAAGAGAGCATTTCATTCTATCATAATGAAATATCAAGAGAGAAAAAATGAAAAGAGGAAAGAAAGAAAAGAAAAGAAAAGAAAGAAAGAAAGAAAGAAAGAAAGAAAGAAAGAAAGAAAGAAA